TCTGGTCTGTCTAGTTATCCACCAGATGTCAGCTGGCGACTGAATTACGACGTGTGTCTCTGAGGGTTGCACTCGCGTTCCCAATAATCCAACTGTCTAGCATCGTGCAAGAACGTTCAGTGACATGGCTCACCTGATACAGGATGTTTCTCGTAAGGTTCACTGACTTCCGTGTGTTTTGTTTGATAAGCTACTTTGCAATTACTGGAACCTACAGTTTATAAAAATGAGTTGGTTATATACATGGCGAAATTAAAGAAGTATATCATGGATAATTTCTGGTGTCCTCTACAAGTTATTTTCCCTTGTAAGAATTGCTTCACATCTTGACATAAAAGGCTGTTTCTATTGTGCTTTGGGGCATCCATCTTGCCCATCATGTTTAGTTACTATTCGTCACTAATTCCTTCCAGACGTGGAATTCGAACAGCTCTCCTGGCAGTACCTGAAGTGGTGCGAACTTCTACAAGGGCAAAAGCATCCAGGGAAGGATGAGATCCCTCCTAAAACTCAAATATTTAATCTTTCATAGCTTTGTCATCTTACTCTAGGCTGTTTTAAGGACTACCATCATCCATTTTTAATGACTACAGCTAAATATCTGTTTAATGCACCCTCAAATTGCTAAGTCTGTGCCTTTATCCTTGTAACTAGTGAAAGTTTTCACTGACTGCACAATCCCTGTGACTATCCACTTGACTTCCGTTACGTGTTTTCACTCCCAAGTGATTTCAAGTTGGTCAGTGTAGATTTACTTTAACCCATTTTGCATTCATGTTTCGCTAGGCTTGGGACCTGTTTTCCTCCATTATGTCTTTCTGGCTTCTGAACTTCCTTACTTTCACTATTCAAGTCACCTCTTCATTAGTGGGATTTAATTTCTGACATGCTCAGTCTTTCGTTATTCTCTAGTTATTTCCAATAAATATGCCCAAAATGTGCTTTCAACTTTATCTCCATCACCTGGTTCGTCATGCGTGTAAAGGCTGCATTCTTTCTAACCATGCTATTCCCTTTGCCAAAGCTCAGCCAAACACAAATCAGATTACTAACTACGAGCCATATATTACTATTATGATTCGTACCCCTCTCTTGCTTACACCGGATGCGATGGAGAGGGCCTCGTGGTGAACGCAACCGCACTCGCAGTTGCTGACCGTTTAATGTACAGTACACTACGCACGGCAGGACTAAGCAGTTACAAGTTGTGGCTTCACCCATGAATCGCGGTAAAGGAAGCGATTTACTACGCTTACCATCCTTCCACAAACTCTTCCTGTAACCATCGCCAAGTAATTAGTGCACTAAGGCGATAATCTAGGAGCCAGCCGTGCCACTCATTCGAGAAGATACTTGGTCGCACAGTCACGAAGGTGCATTAGCGGAGACACAAAATGCCGCTTTGCCAAAACCGAGATTTAAATAGCCACTGCATTAGTGTGTAATGCATTGATGAGGAATCACCGAATGTGCAAAAATTAAACACTTTTGCAGCATAAACGCCTCAAATGCTATCATTTTTGTTGACAAAACATCTGAAGCACGCAACTTCTGTGCGTAGATGACCGCGTAGTATCGCACCGCAC